GAATTTAATTAAAACATGACGTTGATAGATCTGATATAAAACTTAGTGAAATTAATTTGGAAATTGATTTTTTAAATAGATGTAATGCATGGAATTAATTTGAAAAAAAAATAAACAACATGTAATGGATAGCAAATTAATGCTGAGCTTTTTATTGCGTTTGTTGTTGTTTATGTCTCTAGATTTAGTGACGGTTCAAATTTAATTTAGTTAATAATTTATATAAGTTTTATATTGCATGGAGCTGCATGGTCGAATGGTAGAGCGTTTGGCTGCTAGCCCCAAGGATCATGGTTCAGACTTGTGATTGTACGACGTCCCTGAGTTCACTCAGCTCTGATGGGTACCTGTCTTACGTTTGGGGAAAGTAAAGGCGGTTGGGCATAGTGCTGGTCAACATCCCTTTATATGACGAGGTCAAGAAACGTATGAACTCTACTTCATCCTCAAAATTAATCACTAGATCTAAAAAGGAACTTTACTTTTTACTTTCTCGTATACGAAGTATAGAGGAATTATAGTAATCATTAAAAAATTCGAAAATTAAGACTTATATATAGATGTTCCTGTCTAGTGTAAGTAGTCTCGTAAATTTGTCTCAGACACATTTTTAAAATTGGTCTTTGATCTTTGTAGATCTCTGTTACCTTGACCGGTGCACGTAAGAACCTTTCCTGTCACTCAGTTTCTTCTAGGCGTAGCAGCCCCCCCCCCCCCGAAGAAAGTCTACCCCCCCCACCGATCGAAATGGAACCCCCCCCTCCCCCCCCCCCCCCGGAAAATGTAGTCCCGTCCCCCCGTCCCCCCCCCCCCCGAAAATATTAAATATATTCAAGGAAAAAGTCTGGAAGAAACACCTCTGTCACTTCGCCGGGTTAATTAGCTTGAATTTTGTTTGCAAAACTAAAACCGACAATCATACATTTCAAATTAACAGCATTTTACGATATGAAAAAAATAATCTTCAAAACACATGCTTAACTGAACATTTTAAATGTTTAAAAAAAATAAAGAATTAATTGCAATCGATTTCGTATTTGAAATCTGAGTTAATTAACACTCTTCAATCTAGAAAAAGAAAATTAGATTTCCTAACACTATTTCACAGACAAAACAAACGCTTTTTACAACAGTGTAGCAACATAAAGGTTGCACTCACACAATTGGTGAAAAAATTAATCCGTGCTCATTAAAAAGTTTCGGAAAATAAAATTTATGTTCCCTATACCACTTTTATACACATAAAATATTACGTTGATAAAAGATAGTCTGTGAAAACACAATGTGTTCAATTGGGAACGTTGTATCTTACGGGCAGAGAAGGTCTGTGTCACTTTGACCATTAGTTGGTTTATAAATAGTTATATAAATAAATAATATATATATATATATATATATATATATATATACTCCATACTGTATTATATATAATTTATATATATACTTTTAAATATAAACAAATGCATATATGTGAGTATTACATAGTTTGAAAAGTTCAGCTGAGTTGATCAAATAATATAATGTTGAAGAAAATTTACTAACCGAAATGTATATAAATATAGATACTGTGTGTAATTTTTAGATAATAAAGAAATTATAATACATTATATAAAATGTATATAATATGTCATATCATTTTATTTGTTTTCTGCTAAAAAGTATTTGTATATGAAAAATGTTGTCGGAGTAGTATTTACATTACTTTTTTACTCGTGTATTTATTTATTAGGAAAAGTGTTACTAGTAGCTTCCCTTTACCTGTTAAATTATTTTTTTTGCGAATTTTTGTTTACTGTTCAGCTGGTGTTTACAAATTTTTATTACACTATTATCCCCACGATGCATTTTACCAGATGCACCGAAGTTGGGAATATTTGATTGTCGAGAAGGTGGGTTTTTGTTAAATCGTGCGCTATCACCATCTCACCATCTTTTCCCGTTCTTGAATAAGACACATGGGGCAGATGAAGTTCATCTGCTTCCAGGACTTCGGCATATCAAGGGGGAATAAACAACTCCTAAACCCAATAAAGGACAACTGTTTCATATTGGCCAGAGTAGGCCTACGCTTGTGTAACTTAAAATGTTTAAAATCTTACATTTCATTTTTTTTAAATTTTGTAAAAGCGATTTTATATATATATATATATATATATATATATATATATATATATATATATATATATATATATATATATATATATATATATATATGCAATGCTATTTTAAATGTCACTATTTTTGTACACTATTTCAAACAAGTAGGCTACTCAAGATTAATTGGCTTTAGCAAACCATACATTTTCCTCAAAGTATTTCTGGAATTTAAAATGCAGGGAAGCACCTCCCCCATCCTCCTTCCCCCCCCCATCCCTTCCTACCGCCTTTCGATCCGCCTATGAATGCAAATTCGATCTATCAACACAGACAAACAAAACCAATCCAATATTTTTTGCGCTCACCCTAATAGAGAGTACATCTCATAAAAGCGTAGCGCTATTACCGCCCTCCCGCGGCGCTTTAAAATGATTGTCTGGGAAACAGCGCGAGCACTGAAAAACCACGTGATCACTTTACGTCACAATGTGACGCTGTAAGTTAATACACACACGCAGGACGTCTTCTTGTGTAATGGCGGCGAGTGTCCGGATTTAAAAAAACGAAAGTAGACGCGCGTTGATTGGTTGCGACGGTAGACAAAGGTTAGCAACGGCTTTTAATGGCGGCTGGGTATGCTGGAGATTGAATAAGATCAAGGGGTCAGTGACCCCCCTCGGGGCGGGGGTCGTAGGGTTGTGGATAGACCGGGTCTGCAGTATTTATGAGGAGCTGACTCGTTCAGTTTGAGAGAGATGAGTTGAGTTTGATAGCTCAGAAAGCTCTACGTTTTATCCATTCCTGATTGAATTTTTAAGACGAGGAGGGGGGTGGTGGGGGGGGGTAGTGGGGGCAAGACTAGTGATTTGTGTAAAAGCTTTATATATACAAAACAGGACAGTTCTAAAACAATGGGATAACAGAGATCGACTATTTTTCAAATCGGTTTAAGTCAAGATACCAACAAACGCTGATAGTATAAACAAACAATCAAACAAATCAAAACAGCTAATGATTTATTTCATGTGTTTAAAACTAATTTTTAGTCATGTGATTGAAAATATTTTATATTCATTTTGATAATGGGTGGGGGGGGGGCAGTTTTTACCTAAATTCTTTAGAATATGCATCTTCACCCGTTTAAATTGTTCAGATGTAAATTCCAGTCGCCATAAGAATCACATTGCTAGTTTAAATTGTCTTCCAATACCATGCCCACGGCAATATTAATCAACATGTTTTAGAATAACCTCTCCTGTTTTATTTCAACCTCCTGTCAAAATTTTATCCCTTCTTAGATTACCTGTGATCCACTTTTTTTTCTATTATCCACGCTCAAACCTGCCACGTCCAAATCTCGGATTTGCACAATAAATTCTTTAATTCGCGAGATTTCATTGGCTTTGACATCTCCATTCACTGATCATTATTTTTACATCGCGGCGAATCTAAAGTTACAATGATAAAAAAAAATGTAACGTTATGTAACGCAAGTTCTGAGGCTATGAAGATAAAAGGAAATAAATAAACAGCGACTTGCAGTTTGGATGAGCGACCTGCCTTCATTTATTTAGCCCAACTTAAAAGAAGATTTGGTCGAGCTTGGAGAGGGAAAAGATGAAGGAGCCGAACAAAGAAGTTCCGCCTGATTTAACCGTTGTGGAGAAGAAAAAACTAATGAGCCGTTCAGACGACCTTGATGGAGTCGGCGTGTTGACATTGATGGAGCAAAAGTGATGGCCTTGATGGAGCCTGTGTGATGACCTTGATGGAGTCGGCGTGGTGACCTTGATGGAGCCGGTGTGATGACCTTGGTGGAGCCGGCCTGATGACTTTGATAGAGCCGGCGTGATGATCTTGATGGAGCCGGCGTGGTGACCTTGATGGAGCCGGTGTGATGACCTTGATGGAGTCGGCGTGGTGACCTTGATGGAGCCGGTGTGATGACCTTGATGGAGCCGGTGTGATGATCTTGATGGAGCCGGCGTGATGACCTTGATGGAGCCGGTGTGATGATCTTGATGGAACCGACGTGATGACCTTGATGGAGTCTGCGTGATGACCTTGATGGGGCCAACGTGATGACCTTGATGTAACCGACGTGGTGACCTTGATGGAGATGGCGTGATGACCTTGATGGAGTCGGCGTGATGAACTTGATGGAGTCGGCGTTATGATCTTGATAGAGCCGGCGTGATGACCTTGATGGAGAAGGTGTGATGACCTTGATGGAGCCTGTGTGATGACCTTGATGGAGCCGGCGTGATGACCTTGATGGAGCCGGCGTGATGACCTTGATGGAGCCGGCGTGATGACCTTGATAGAGCCGACGTGATGATCTTGATGGAGTCGGCGTGATGACCTTGATGGAGTCGGCGTGATGACCTTGATGGAGCCGGCGTGATGAACTTGATGGAACTGGTGTGATGAACTTGATGGAGACGGCGTGATGACCTTGATGACGAGCGGTAAAGGATGTTTCTATTCCATGAGTAGGGTCTAGGACGTTGTGGCATGCGTGGGGTATCAGTTCCGTTATATTTGGCGGGAGAGAGGACGGGGGGGGGGATTAAAGGGGAGATGATTTAAAAGGGAGATGCGGAAAGATGGGCAGATGCAGATTGATAAAGACAAATGACTTTGGTTTGTTTTATATTTTGATTTCTACAGGTACAATATTTTAAAAATATTTTGTCTGTAATTAAGTAATTAAATTGATAAACAAAAACTTGTCTGTACCCCCGGTTGCCATTCTCGGTATTGTTATCTTAGAATATTCGAAAAAGTTTAGGGGGGATCACTCACAATTTATTATACTTGAACGTTGCAACATACAAATCAAAATCCACGACAGCACACAAATCCAACCCTACGGCAGCATACAAATTCTACCCCACGGCAACATGCACATCCCACCCCACGGCAACATACAAATCCCACCCCACGGCAACATGAACATCCCACCCCACGGCAACATACAAATCCCACCCCACGGCAACATACAAATCCCACCCCACGGCAACATACAAATCCCACCCCACGGCAACATGCACATCCCACCCCACGGCAACATACAAATCCCACCCCACGGCAACATACAAATCCCACCCCACGGCAACATGCACATCCCACCCCACGGCAACATACAAATCCCACCCCACGGCAACATACAAATCCCACCCCACGGCAAAATACAAATCCCACCCCACGGCAACATACACATCCCACCCCACGGCAACATACACATCCCACCCCACGGCAACATACACATCCCACCAAACGGCAACATACGGGGGATCTCGTGATCCTAATAACACAGTGATGAATGACGTGGTATGATATGTATCCTCCATTACTTATCACGTGACCCACACATCCCATCACCTATCACGTGACCCACACATCCCATCACCTATCACGTGACCCACACATCCCATCACGTGACCCACACATCCCATCACGTGACCCACACATCCCATCACCCATCACGTGACCCACACATCCCATCACCCATCACGTGACCCACACATCCCATCACCCATCAAGTGACCCACACATCCCATCACGTGACCCACACATCCCATCCTGTCTTACCCTTACACACCAGCATCACATACGTCATAGATCAACTTTTATGGTCATTGTTTCCAATACAACTATACATATTGTTTACACAATCTCCCCTTAGGAGTCGGTTACAAAGTTACCATACCCCACCCAGTCCCCACTCACTCACCCATTACAGCTATGGTTACAAAGTTACCAAACCCCACCCAGTCCCCGCTTACTCCCCCATTACAGCTATGGTTACAAAGTTACCAAACCCCACCCAGTCCCCGCTTACTCCCCCATTACATCTATGGTTACAAAGTTACCAAACCCCACCCAGTCCCCACTTACTCCCTCATTACATCTATGGTTACAAAGTTACCAAACCCCACCCAGTCCCCGCCCACTCCCCCATTACATCTATGGTTACAAAGTTACCAATCACACCCAGTCCCCACTCACTCACCCATTACAGCCATGGTTACAAAGTTACCAAACCCCACACAGTCCCCGCTTAATCCCACATTACATCTATGGTTACAAAGTTACCATACCCCACCCAGCCCCCGCTCACCCCCCCCATTACATCTATAGTTCCATTAGCCTCACAAGACAATGGTTGTGCGCCCATTACTTTCCTGATAAATTAAATATAGATCAGGCTTTATTAAAATCTGAGTGTAGTAAAACCTTGTCAGATTTGTTGTGTATCATTCAATGCATTGGACCTGAGTTCGTTTATAAAGTTGAAGGAAGGGAAATCACTCAACAGTTTGTTATAGTAAGGCATATTCTTCACATAGTTTCATGTAACAATACACACACCAGAACTTTGGGGAAGTGCCTAAATCGACAAACCAGGAATTAGAACAATTAGAAAAAAAAAACCGCTGAAACACCATTAAAAACATCGGCAAACACCTTCCTTAGAAAACATCCCTAAAACCACCATTAGAAAAAAGATCGCCAAAAACAACCTTAGAAAACTTCAGCTTCCGTGTCTTTTCAACAAAAGAGAAAATTAAACAACTGATGAGTGGTGACGCTGCCTAATTAAAACTGGCAAGAAAAAACAGACGACCAAAATACTAAAAAAATAATTGTCTAGGCCTTTGTGATGAAATATGTGTTGCAATAGAGAGTATTGTAAAAAAAAAAGTTTTAATTTGTGATAACGAAATTTATTTTACTGAAACTGGTTACCTAACCCTAGAGACACATTATGTCTAGTTATCTCCCATGATAATATAGAACAAAAATTTCAGGGGAGGTGACTTAAAAAAAAATTACATTGATTATTAAATGAATAAAAATGTATAAAGCACCATTCTTTGCAATTGTTAATAACATATACTTTAAGTATCTCCGCATGTTTAATTTATGTAAGGAAATCATCGATAAATGTGTATTATCATTTTACTATGGGATTTAAAGTTTTAGATAATATGTAAAGCTTCAAAACTTGTATTACATTTTAGTATTTATTAATATAAAAAGCTTATGTTCGATTGAACGATATTTTCCTATGTCAATACCAACATATTTTAGATCCCTGAAAACGAGGGACACGTAATTTATGATCTCATTCCCCCTCAACCCACCACACAGAATAGAACGTTGATTCGTCATATAATTAATAAATTAATTAGAATATAAAATTGTAATTAGACGCTTTGCATGATGTACAAGTAAACAATCTTAAATGAATAAAAGTACACGCCAGGAAGAAGTATTACTATTGTAAATCAGTATCAGTCCCAAATCTTGGCGTAGGCACGGGGTTAGGGGGGGGGTCATAACCCCCCATAGACCCCTCGGTATATAGAAAAAGTATGAGGGGGGGGGGGGGTGCAAATCGAAAGTTTGTCCCTGGGTAAAAATTGGAACCCCCCCCCCTTGAGACGATCCTGGCTACGCCTCTGCCTTAGTCCAAAACCTAACCTTCACCATAACACATACGTATAAAGTACATAGATCCGACACTACACTGCACGTTAAAAATATAATATTAATTTTTTCCATGTTCTACCGCTAATGATGAAACCATTATCGTATGTGTTGTAAGTTTACAAAACCCGAACCATCCTCATCAAAACACGAGTCTTGATACCAGTAACAGAAAACATTTGACACGAAGAGAAAGTGTGATTGTGGCAGTCATAAAACTAACGCTAAGCGTGTAGGTAGATACTATTAAACTAACGCTAAGCGTGTAGGTAGATTTCGCTATGTGCGGGATGGTTGTAATTAGGAGCAGGGGGCACACACTCCAACAGTACTTAGGTCTGGCGTCCACTCTCATTGTTAGACGTTACGACAGATATATTGTAGACCGTCTGGCTTCATGGTCCGATGCTGAATTCCAGCCCCTCCTCCCCCCTCAACCTACTCCCTGCCACAGACCTTCCTCCTTTTCCACTTTCTTCTCGGGCCACCATCACCCCCCCCAACCACCATATACAGTAACATCCGCCTACTCCTACATTCCTACCTACACTCTTAGCACTACCATCTTTCCTCTACACCCTGCAGCATTCAACTTTACCCATCCTCACCTTCACCCATGCCCCCTTATGCCTCACCCCCCCCCCTCCCCCAGGTAAGTCAAAGTATTTTTCCTTACCCCTTGCCACATTGGTCATCTTCGACCCTCACCCCTCCCTGCCACAACAATATTCCTTTTTTACACCCCACCTCCTGCTACATATCTTCCTTTTCTACCTCATCCATGCTACAATCTTCCTTTTTTTTCCTCAACCGCCCCACTATCTTCCTATTAGATCCACTCTACCCCCCCCCCCCCACACTACCTAAGGTCCCCACTAATAACCCAATACCTCCCCTATTAAATCCCAATTAATACCCCACTACCTACCCCATTCGTGGGTCTGGCTGTATGGTAGTTCCGCCCCTGACAACCAATCAATTCTTTAACGCAGGCTTAAACCCGAAATAAGAACTTAGATCCAGTGTTTCTTACATCCTTTTCTCTCGGGGGGGGGGGGGGGGGGGCACTTGAAATTTTCGGAGGGGAGGGCGGACTAAAATTTCCCGGGGGCAAGACACTGTTGAAAGTATATAATTTCTATATAAATTCCATTTCGTTCGGGGGGGGGGGGGTAGATTTTTTTCGCCTGGAAGAAACGCTGCTTACATCACGTCAAAGTCTACATCTGATGCTTCGCTTTAAACCAAACCAAACCTAATTCTAAGCTTATGCTAGTAATGGATGTTAATCATTCGAGTGCTTTGGTCGCATTTGGTGCTTTGACCGTAACACATATATGCAGTGGCGTAGCGAGGTCGGGTGTCACCCGGTGCGGCACTTAATGGTGTCACCCCCCAGAGGCATGGAGACCCTTCCCAGGGACAAACTTTCAAATTTTCGATTTGCACCCCCCCCCCTCAAACTTTCGATTTGCACCCCCCCTCAAGTTTTCGATTTGCACCCCCCCCCCTCAAACTTTCAATTTGCACCCCCCCCCCTCGAGTTTTTGATTTGCACCCCCCCCCCTCAAACTTTCGATTTGCACCTCCCCCCTCGAGTTTTTCTCTATATTTTTTGCTATTTTTTGCCTTGGTGTCACCCCCCCTAAATGGTGTCACCCGGTGCGGTCCGCACCCCCCGCCCCCCCCCCCCCCCCTCGCTACGCCCCTGCATATATGCCCATATATGTCCTGATCATCTAGTTGTGTGAGCATGAAGCACGCGACCAACCAATGTCAGTTACGTATCACAAAGCATCATTTAATGTTTCATTCATAAAAGATGGTCCCATCACCCTCAACAGATTCGCCTTCCTCTTAACGAATGGCATTAAATATGGAGCCCTTGGGCGAGGGTCGGAAAGACATTTTTTCAAATACATCCCTGCAATGTTTTATTTTTTAAACCAGAGATGAAAATCATTTTTCAAACGCTTGTAACTGTATTATAATATAAATCAAAGTTCAACATTTTTAACTACGTTTACAGCAGAACGTGTTTCTCTAAAATAAATGCGTTTCGCTAGTCTATTTTTGTATGAAGCGTTAAAAATGATATTTTGGTTTTTAAAATGAAAAACTGAATGGATTATATTTTGATAGAACGAGACATGAAATGAATTTTACAGCTTCGCCTAAGTAAAATAATAACATAAAGTAGACAGATTGATGTAATATTCTATCGCTTCTTGATGTTACAAATACAATGTGATTTTTTCTTGAGGTTTTTTTTTTTTTTTAAAGTTTTGTTTAGACCTTCAACCATGACAGTAATAAACGACATGAAAAGTGGGATTTAATAAAAATCTTACAATCATACTTTGTTTTAAAATGTTTCCTTGCCCCTGTTTTTCTTTTATACACAGTGTAAACAAATGCCTGGAATGTAACATAACCGTACAGGCTATCAGATGTAGCAAATAAGTTTCAGCGAAGACGTTCTGACGCGTGTTAAAACTGACAGCCTCAGAAGGATTGAGTTTCTTATTCCGTCTGGGTGTTTGTTCAAAAGAAATCTCTTCCGGTGTATGCTCAATCTTCTTTTATGGAAAGCCATTTTTATTTAGGCCTACTTTAATTGCGATAGCTAAAATATTGTTGAAGTTGTATTGTTTGACAATTCCAGCAACAACCGGAAGTGGGCGTTGTCGGGAAACATTGTGACATTATTTGATGTTTCATAAAGTTGTTAGGACGGCGAAGTGTCGGGTTACTGAAGCGTGGCAGATTTAACAAAGTAGTGGTAAAAAGTAGACAACTAAAGATGGTA